CTAACTCAGCTTAGAGGGAACTATGGCTGCAAGGCAAAAGGGACTTCAAAGGAGAAGCCATGCAAACCCTGGATTTCACACATCATCCCTACTAGTCAATGATTAGTGGCCTTCCTAGCAGTTGTGAGCGCTTTGGCAGAAGCCGTGACTCAGTGGGGTCAGGGATCCGCTTTCAAAAAATGCACCCCATTGTCCGGGCTTCTCATTTTACTGGATGACTCAGGAGGGAAGCCGCTAACTTCTCCAGAAGGGACCCCGGCGGGGTGGGGAGAGTTGGACGGGGAGATACCTCCGACCGGGGAAGCCCTGGAAAAAACACTTTGCAGTGGAACCTGAGTTTACATAACCACAAGGAAAGCCGTCCCAAAATCAACACTGTGTACACACATCGGCATGGCACCGGCTCCAGGGACGTCCCCGTCGTGCTGACTGCACTCTCCGGGCTGGGAGCCAGAACTTCTGGGGGGGCGGGGGGGGGGGGGGGGGGAGCTGGCAAGACAGAAGGGGCACCCTGGGAGATTCGACTCCTGCATTCAGTTTTTCAGGGCTTTTTTTGGGTGTGGGGGGGAGATGGGATTTATTTATTTATTATCAAATGTATACCCCGCACTCCCCGCAAGCGGGCTCAGGGCGGCTTCCATAAAAGCATAAATACATTAAAATTACAATATTTAACCATACCATAAAAACATTATAAATACAAAGTGCCCTGGCCTGGATGTCCCAGGTTAGCCTGGTCTCATCAGATCTCAGCAGCTAAGCTGTGTTGGCCCTGGTTAGTACTTGGCTGGGAGACCACCAAGGAAGTCCGGGGTTGCTACGCAGAGGCAGGAAATGGCCAGCCACCTCTGTTCGTCTCTTGCCTTGTTCCGGATGGCACAGGCTAGCTTGATTTCCTCAGATCTTGGAAGCTAAGCAGGCCCACTACTTGGGTGGGAGACCACCGAGGAAGCCCAGGGTTGCTACGCAGAGGCAGGCAAAGGCAAACTTCCTCTGTTCATCTCTTGCCTTGTTCCGGATGGCCCAGGCTAGCCTGATTTCCTCAGATCTCGGAAGCTAAGCAGGCTCACTACTTGGATGGGAAATCTTGCACCGAATCATGCCCTTCCCAAGGTCCACCCCCAAATCTCCAGGAATTTCCCAAGTCAGAGTTGGCAATCCTACCTGGATGTGATCAAACTCCGGAGCACAGCGGCCAGTCCACCCTTTTTGAAGAGCAACCACAGTGGATGAAAGGTGCGGCATGCCACAGAGGAAATGTGCCTCCAACTGTAAGCCAGGATCCAGCCAGACCCCCAAGCCGCATCCCTGCTCTTTGGTGTGGGGGGGGTGCGACCCCATTCAGGATAAGCCGACTCCACAAGTCTTAAGGGAGAATATTCATTGACCAACAGCACCTCAGTCTTGTCTGGATTGAGCCTCAGTTTACTGGCCTCCATCCATCCCATTATTTATTTATTTATTTAATTGTATTTATACCCCCCTCTCCCCGCGAACGGGCTCAGGGCGGCTTACAACAGAGCACCAAAGGCATACAGTATATAAAAGCTAAAACAGTTAAAATTCAGTTCCATCGGATGCACGTATAAAACTCCCAACATCTTTCATAGCAGAGGGGGAGGGCTAGGGTCGTGGATAGATGTTACCCGGCCCTCCGGCGGTATCACTCTATGAAGGAGCGGTGGTGGTAGTGGCAGTGGTGGCTCCTACTCGAAGGCCTGGCGGAAGAGCTCCGTCTTACAGGCCCTGCGGAACTGCACAAGGTCCCGCAGGGCCCTGATCTCCTCCGGGAGCTCGTTCCACCAGATAGGAGCCGCCACTGAAAAGGACCTGGCCCTTGTTGCCACAAGCCTGGCCTCCTTAGGGCCCGGGGTCACCAGCCGGTGTTGTGACCCCGACCGAAGTGCTCTTTGGGGACTGTATGGGGAAAGGCGGTCCCTCAGGTATGCAGCCCCGGGGGGAACTCTATGGTTTTCCCTCCGACGATCGAGGCCACGCCCTCAACGTGGTCGACGTCGCGCACGCACATCCGAGGACGGCTCCCAGAGCCTGGCTAGGCTCCCCCGGCCGTGAGCTTTTTTGACTTGGCAACCCTAGTAGGGCTTGTGCCCAGCAAGGCCTCTGAAGATCTGATTGGCTGTGCAGGTTTTTAAAAAAACGTTGCTCTGGCAGCAGCTGTCCCCAGAGCACAAGGCTCCTCACTGTGTGACTGAGGTAGGAGTGGCGGCCATTTTGTGGCTGGCTACGCCTCCTGCAGCGGCCATATTGTGGCAGCCATTTTGTGGCTGCTGTCGTGCTGGGGTTCCCAGCTTTGGATTGGGAAACACCCGGAGATTTGGGGTGGGGCGGAGCCTGGGGAGGCCAGGGTTTGGGGAGGGGAGGGACCTCAGCAGGGTATGACGATGTCACAGAGGCCCACCCTCCGAAGCGGCCATTTTCTCCAGGGGAACTGATCTCTGCAGTCTAGCGGTCAATTGTTATAGTGTCGGGCTGCCAGGCCTGGGCTGGAAGAAAGCTGCAGACAGGAGAGGATGGGGCTTGGGGAGGGGAGGGGCCTCAGCATGGTACAATGCCACAGAACAGGGGTGTCAAACTCATTTGTTATGAGGGCTGGATCTGTCATAAATGAGACCTTGTTGGGCCGGGCCATGCGTGTCACAAAATGTCACGCCAGGTAGTGGAGATATACACTTTATAAAGGACACAAACACAAATAAAAACATGCTTAAACCATTAGCACCCTTGCAATAGTTTGTTTATCTGACAGTGTCGGATAAATGACACTTCTTGCTCTGCATGACTGCATGTCTGTGCTGTTGAAATCTCGAGTATGCCGTTCAAGTACGTATCTGTAAGCTGCAAACCTACGATGATGCAGCAGCAGCAGCAGAACTGGAAGAAGCAGCAGAAGACAGCCGGTTCCACTGCGAGCCTGATAGAAGCCCTCCGGGGGCCTCACCTGGCCCCCGGGCTGCATGTTTGACACCCCTGCTATAGAATCTTCCTTTCAAAGCAGCCATTTTCTCCAGGGGAGCTGATCTCCGCAGTCTGGAGATCAGTTGTAAAACCAGGAGATCTCCAGGCCCCACCTGGAGGCTGACAACCCTATAATAGTGTGAGATCGATAGGGGCTCACTGGCTTAGAAATACTGGGGGCCCCCGGTCGAGATAATCCATCTCCTCCAAGACTAACTGAAGCTACATAGCTATGACTCAAGCACCTTGCCTAATAGGCACGCCGGCCACTCGGCGGTGGTAATCTAGGTAATTGTAATAGCAAACGGGATCTGTAAGATCAGCTCTTATTTATATACTATTTGACCTGTGATCCGAGCCCCTCCTGTGTTATTTCAGTCATCCTTACAACAATCCTGGAAAGTAATTATGATTCTCGTATTGCAGGCGGAGAGCTGAGCCATGGATGTTCTCTCGGGTGTGACAGCTGAAGAACCTTCCGGTTCCAAGACAGTCCACTTGTGAATACCTGTGGCTGGTGGGTCTGTGCCTTCATGCCCCGTTTGCCGGCATCGAAGAAGTGTATGGGTGGCCTCCGCTGAAAGCAAGATGGCAGACTCTGGACACTTTGGTCTGATCCAGTGAGACTCTCCTTATATTCGGAAGGAGCCCGGCTTGCGTTAGACCGCTCAGAGAGCTTCTCAATGAGGTAACATTTGAACTCGACACTTGCAGCTCCTCGCTAACAGTCTCTTCACAATGCCGGCTCTGGCAGGCATGTGGGTGAAAGGTGGGAGAAACCAAGCTGGTAAATGGCTGGGGAAATGTCAGATTTGGAAAGCCGCTGCTACCATTTGAGGAAAGGTAAGACTCAACGATCTAAAAACATATTTAATTGCAGGTAGCGATTTGGGGGCTGAGAGCCGTAACGGGCCCTGGGCCAAGATTCCTCCTGGGTAGGGTTGCCACTGCCAGCAATGTTCCTTCTAAGCTGAGTTAGTGTGAGCTAGCTCACATTTTTTTAGCCTCTGGCTCACACAGCTTTGTCTTAGCTCAGGAAGGATGGCTCCAGAGCAAACGAATTTATGCAGCAGCCAAACTGCTTGCTCACAACTTTAATGCCAGTAGCTCACAAAGTAGAATGTTTGCCCACAAGACTCAACTGGTTAGAGGGAGCACTGGTTGCCAGTGCCAGGTTGGGAAAGACCTGGAGATCTTGGGGGTGTGGTTTGGGAAGGGGAGGGACTTCAATGGAATATAATGTCCACCTTTCACAGTGGCCATTTTCTCCAGGTGAACTGATCTCTGTCGCCTGGAAATCAGTGTGTAATAGCAGGAGATCTCCAGCCACCACCTGGAGGTTGGCAGCCCTGCTCCTGGGGCCCTTCTTCTATTCCCAAGAAGACACTGAAGATATTTACAGTGACCTAGGGATGCCAGCCTCCAGGTGGGGCCTGGGGAGCCCCAGGAATTACAGCTCGTCTCCAGACTACAGAGATCAGTTCCCCTGGAGAAAATGGCTGCTTTGGAGGGTGGACTCTGTGGCATTGTGCCTTACTGAGGTCCCTGTCCTCCCCAGGCTCCACCCCCAAATCTCCAGGAGTGTCCCAACCTGGAGATGGCAACCCTGTAGGCTGCAGGTGGCAAAGGGGAACCTGGGCAACCCTAGCAAACGCCATCGGTTCACAGGTTTCCCAGGATGACCTGGGCCCTGGAACTGGGTACCCCTAGCAACCCAGACGCGAATCATTGCATTGGAATCTATGCCCCTCGGTCCTGAATTCCAGCCCCCGACTCCAGTTTTCTTACCGTATCTTGGAATTAATCTCGGGTGCTATCAACGTGCCATTTAATATGAGTAAGTGGAAAGGAACAACAATTAGCCGGTGTCAGAAGGTAGTCCCTCTACCACAGATTTGCATGGATGATGATGAATGGAACACTTTCTCTCGGCACCGGCAATAAAACCGGCATTCCCAGGCTCGGACGGGGAGGAAGACACCCGAGCGGTCTAGAGACGAGACTCGTGCCCAGGGAATCCCGACATGGCCAATGTCCAACGGGTAAGTCCCAAGACTCTGTGCCCACCGGCTCTGGAAGGGGCAGAGGGTCTTCTAAGGGGGGTGAGATGGCATGGTAGCCCGGAAGGTAAGACTGGGGATTCTCTTCTTGACTCTCAAAAGCTGATTTCTGGGATTTTTAGCTATGAGATACTCTAGTAGATGGAGCTGCGGTGGCTCAAGTGGTTAAGACGCTGAACTGCAGGCTGTGGAAGGTCAGTAGTTCAGCAGTTCGAGACCCGAGTGTGCCGCATGACGGAGTGAGCTCCTGTCTCTAGTTCCAGCTCCTGCCAACCTAGCAGTTTGAAAGCAAGAAATTGCAAGTAGATAAATAGGTACCATTTCGGTGGGAAGGGAACAGCGTTCCGTGCGCCTTGGCGTCTAGTCATGCCGGCCACATGACCACGGAAACGTCTTCGGACAGCGCTGGCTCTTCGGCTTTGAAACGGAGATGAGCACCGCAACCCTAGAGTCGGATTCGACTGGCGTTCGAGCAAGGGGAACCTTTACCTTTTTTACTCTAGTAGAAGTTTCGTGTTCAGATGCAGGATATGGTCAGTGGCATAACGGTGTAGTGGTTAGAGGGTCAGGCTGTTGGACGGAGCAACTCAGCATGCTTGGGCACTGGGGCGTGTTACATCACTCCAAGCGTGTATAGGTGTTACCTCTTTGAATGGGATGGCTCTCTTTGTCTTAACCTGGGAGCTGCCCTCTGACCCCCCCTCTTCTCTCCCTTTTCCCTCTCACACTCGCTACATGGCCTTCCATGGAGACACGGCTCTGCGGGTCTCTCCCATAGAGACCATGCCTTCATACTCCAACACACGTGATGCTGGATGAGCTGGCTATATGTGACAGGGAAAGTCCTCTTTAGATTAAGCTTCTTTCTCCTCTTTTGACTGCAACCTGAATGCAGTGTTCCCTCTAAGCTGAGTTAGTGTGAGCCAGCTCACCGGTTTTTTTAGCCTCCGACTCACACACTTTTGTCTCCGCTCAGGAAGGATGGCTCCAGAGCAGACTAATTTATGCAGTAGCCAAATTGCTCGCTCACAACCAAGGCTCCCACTAAGCTGTGGAGTCTTGTGAGCAAAAATTCTATTTTGTGAGCTGCTGGCATTAAAGTCACGAGCGAGCGATTTGGCTGCTGCATAAATTCGTTTGCTCTGGAGCCCTCCTTCCTGGGCTAAGACAGAAATGTGTGAGCCGGAGGCTAAAGAACTGTGATCTAGCTCACTTTAACTCAGAGGGAACACTGGTCACCGCCAATGCTCCCTCTAAGCTGTGGAGTCTTGTGAACAAAATTCTACTTTGTGAGCTGCTGGCCTTAAAATTGTGAGTGAACAATTTGGCTACTGTATAAATTAAGCTACCAGAGTGGAGAACCGTGGAATGTGTTCTTAAATGCATTGTATTATACCGCACCGCCATCATTATACCAACTGTTTTAAATTGTTTATTATGGATTTTTACACTGAGATGTGTATTGTTTTATTGGCTTTATGTAAGCCGCCCTGAGCCTGCCTTGGCGGGGAGAGCTGGGTAAAAGTTAAATTAATAAATAAATATAAATATATAAATAAATTCGTGCTGGAGCCATCCTTCCTGAGCGAAGGCTGCGGGGCACTCAGAGAAGATCGCGCAGGGAAGCCAGGCATTTAATTCTCCCCCCTTGGGAGGGGGTGGGGCCTGGGCTCGTTACTGCCGGAACGCTGCTCCGGGGTGCTCCGGCAGGAAACGACCCCTAGGAGGGAGGAATCTACGGCATCACACCCTGCTGAGGTTTCTCCCCTCCCCACGCCCTGCCCTCTCAAGGCTTCACCCCCAAATCTCCCAACCTGGAATTGCCCAACCTGGAGCTGGCAACCTTAGAAAAAGAAAAGCGCTATGGCTTGCAGCGAGCGGCTGTTCACGGAAACGCCCCAGAGATGGTTTGGAAAGCCAGCAAGCTTAACTGGCAAATAGAACGGGACTTATGGAGCAGTACCGGGAGGCAGTGAGGAAATAAAGGCAGCTGGGGACACATTAAGGGCTGCTTTGGTGCAGTTGACAGAATTGTGATGCAATCACTCCAGCTGTGTGCGTGTGACATGTTTGGACACTTCCCTGCAGAGGAATAAAAACTCCTTCTATGGAGGAAATGACCTGACTTGAATAACCTAGGCTGGCCTGATCTCGTCAGATCCCAGCTGTTAAGCAGGGTTAATTCTTGGATCCCAGACCACCTCGGGTCATCTCTCGCCTCGACCCGGACGGCCGAGAGGCTAGACCGGTTGCATCAGATCTCGGAAGCTAAGCAGTCTTGAAAACACTGTGGGGGGTCACCATAAATAGGCTGGGACTTGACGGCAAAAAAAATCAATCAATCAATCAATCAAAAAGTCGAAAATGAACACACCCAGGGAGAAGGGGGTCCGTCTAACCAGAGAGCCAGTTTGGTGTCGTGGTTAGGAGCACGGACTCTAATCTGGGAGTTAACTGGGTTTGGTCGCCTACTCCTCTGCATGCAGCTGCTGGTGTGACCTTGGGTCAGTCACAAGTTCTCTCAGAGCCATTCTCCCAAGGGCAGTTCTCGGGAGAGCTCTCTCAGCTCCACCTTCCTCACAGGGTGCCTGTTGTGGGGAGGGGAAGGCAAAGGGACGGTAAGCCGCTCTGAGACTCCTTCGGGTAGTGAAGGGCGGGGTATAAATCCAATCTCCTCCTCCTCCTCCTCCACTCAGTAAGCTTTCCCCCCCCCTCCCCCAAGCATTCAGAGGTGGATTTCACCCTCCACTCACATGCGCACAGGACTGCTCCTCTGCTGACTGGCACCGTTAGGAGGGCGCTCGCTCTCAGCCAGGAACATAAGAACATAAGAGAAGCCAGTGTTGGATCAGGCCAAAGGCCCATCCAGTCCAACACTCTGTGTCACACAGTGGCCAGAAATACCAGGTGCCATCAGGAGATCCAGCAGTGGGGCCAGGACACTAGAAGCCCTCCAACTGTTGACCCCCCCAAGCACCAAGATGACAGAGCATCACTTGCCCCAGAGTCCCTATCTATACCTTGTGGCTAATAGCCACTGATGGACCTCTGCTCCATATGCTTATCAGGAGCGGCACGACAGAGGACTGCCATCATCTCCTGGGCTTGTGTTCCTGCCGAACAGATCCATGCCACGCCCTTAGGAGGCCGTGATGAGGGGCTTGGCTTGGACCTGGCTTTAGGGTTGCCATCTCCGGGTTGGGAAATTCCTGGATATTTCGGGGTAGGATCATGGGGAGGGGAAGGACTCTGGCAAGGTATCATTCCGTAGAGTCCCTCCGCCCGAAGCAGACATTTTCTCCAGGCAAACTGATCTCTGTAGTCCGCAGATCAGCCGGAATGCCGCGAGATCTCCAGGTCTCTCCTGGAGGCTGGCAACCCTACCTGGCTAGCAGTGCGGCAGGCCCCAGAAGGGGGACCTCGCTTGGGTGGCAAAGTGCCTTGAGCCGGCCCGGTCCACTGAAACGGTACGGCCCACTTGGCAGTAGGGTTGCCTCTGGTCCGCCTTGAACGTGGGCAGGGGATGGGGTGGAAGGGTTGCCATCTCCAGGTTGGGACACTCCTGGAGATTTGGGGGTGGAGCCTGGGGAGGAGCGGGACTTCAGTGGGGCACAAGGCCACCGAGTCCGCCCTCCAAAGCATCCCTTTTCCCCAGGAGAACTGATCTCTTTAGTTCCATGCTCAGAAGATGAGCCTGCTTGTCAGGCAAGGCGGGACATAAATCGAAATTAATAAATAATAAATAAATAAAGACCTGCGGTGGCTCAAGTGGTTAAGGCGCTGAACTGCAGGATGTGAAAGGTCGGTAGTTCAGCAGTTCGAGACCCGCGTGTGCCGCATGACAGAGTGAGCTCCCGTCTCTCGTTCCAGCTCCTGCCAGCCTAGCAGTTCGAAAGCAAGAAAATGCAAGTAGATAAATAGGTACCACTTTGGTGGGAAGGGAACCGCGTTCCGTGCGCCTTGGTGTTTAGTCATGCCGGCCACATGACCATGGAAACGTCTTCGGACAGCCCTGGCTCTTCGGCTTTGAAACGGAGATGAGCACCGCAACCCTAGAGTCGGACTCGACTGGCTTTCGAGCAAGGGAGACCTTTACCTTTTACCTTTAAATAAATAATAAATAAGGAGATGAGACGGAGTTCCAGGGGATCCCCAGGTCCCACCTGGAGGCTGGCATCCCTCCTAGACAGCGCAGTGTGGGCCCCAATAGCCCCGGGTCCCCTGGCAACAATCCGGTTGACAAACTGGGAGGAGGGGGCAATTAGATTCCTTTGGAAGACGGACAGTAACGTCTGGATGCCCCAGCCCGGACTGCGGCAAGCCACCGACCTCCTTCTCCTTTCTCCCTCTTGCAGGCGGTGATGTGCGTCGCGCTCTGGGCCTTCCTGCCCTGCGGAGCCCGATACTGTCTGACGCGTTGCTGTGACACCACCGAAATCAAGCAAGCCGGGGATGAACTCACGTCCAGAGCCGAGAGGCTGAAGCGCATGCCCACCCCGCAGGACTGCAAAGCCTCCTCCAGTAGGCCTGTGAACCAGAGGTCCACCTCACCCTGGACATATGAGTAAGGAAGGGCAAATGCCCGGCCCTCGAGTTCCCCTGGCCACCCGCCAGCCCCGGAGATCTGGGAGGAGGTGGTCCCCGCTCCCAAGGCATGAAGGGCTTTAAAGGCCAAACCCAACTTCTTTAATTGGGCTCGGCAGTGGATCGGTACCTGAGTGCCATTGCTGTAATCCCGGGCTCCCGATAGCTGGCAGTCCACCGTGGTGTTCTGCACTAGCTGCAGCTTCCATAGAATCAAAGAATCGTAGAGCTGGAAGGGACCTCCAGGGTCATCTAGTCCAACCCCCTGCACTCTGCAGGAAACTCACAAAAACCTCCCCCTCCCAGAGGTCATTTCGGGGGGGAACGCAGGGGATCACAGTTCCCTCGGGTGAGGTACGGGGGGGTGGGGCACATGACGAAGCCCCGCCCCCTGCTTCCGGCCGCCCTGCTTCCGGCCCTCATTCAGCCAGGAGGAGGCAGGAGAAGAGGGAGGGTAAGTTGCTTCCTCCCTGCCTCTCCCCACCCCTGCCTGCCTGGGGCCAGGGAGGGCCTTCCTTGTACTCCCACCGGCCTTGCAGGTCCACCGCCGGGCCCCTCATGGGGCTCAGCAGTGGAGCTGCAAGGTCAGCAGTGGCGGCCGGGACCATTGGGGGCGGGGTGTGTGGCCTTATGACACACTTCCGGTGATGTCAGGGGGTGTGGCCTTATGACACACTTCCGGTGATGTCAGGGGTGGTGGCATATGCTAATGAGTTCCCCTAGCTCTTTTTCTATGAAATGACCCCTGCCCCCTCCACACCCGCAGTGACCCCTGCTCCATGCCCAGAATATGACAAAAAACCTCCAGGATCCCCGGCCAAACTGGCCTGGAGAAAAATTGCTTCCTGACCCCTGAAGTGACGATTGGCATTTCCCTGGGCATGTCAGAAAGGGCCACGAGAACTAAGCACTGAGGCAACCCTTCCTGCCCTCCCTCTCGTGATCTGGCCAAGTTCACAGAATCCGCATTGCTGTCAGATGGCCATCGAGCCTCTGCTTGAAAACCTCCATAGGAGGAGAGCCCACCACCTCCCGAGGAAGCCTGTTCCACTAAGGAACCGCTCGAACTGTCAGGCAGTTCTTCCTAAAGTTAATTTGAAAACATTTTTTGTTTAATTTCAACCCGTTGGTTCTGGTCTGACCGTCTGGGAAATAGATAACAACTCTGCCCCATCCCCTAGATGACAGCCCTTCAAGTACTTGAAGAGGGTTATCGTATCACCTCTTAGTCGTCTGCTCTCCAGGTTAAACATACCCAGCTCCTTCAACCATTCCTCTAGTCTAGGACTTGGTCTCCAGACCCCTCACCATCTTCGTTGCCTTCCTCTAGATGTGTTCCACTCTTCAGGTGGCTGGTGGTGCGGCAGGCCCCGGAGATTATGGATATTCCTTACCTGGGGAGGCAAAACACTTTGAAAAATCCTGTCCTTGTTTCGCAAGTCCACCCTTCCTAAATCCCAGATTGCCCCATTATAAACCAAATCCAAATCTTCAACGGCGCTAGCCACTGTTTCGTCAAACTGTTGCATTAAATCACCGAGAAATCTTGTCCCTTGAGCCTGGGCGGCAGTGGGGTGGCAGGCGATGCTCCCTCTAAGCTGTGGAGTCTTGTGAGCAAAAATTCAACTTTGTGAGCTACTGACATTAAAAGTTGTGAGCGAGCCATTTGGCCACTGCATCAATTAGTTTGCTCTGGAGCAATGCTCCCTCTAAGCTGTGGAGTCCTGTGAGCAAAAATTCAACTTTGTGAGCTACTGGCAGTACACTTCTGAGCGAGCAGTTTGGCTCCTGCATAAATCAGTTTGTCCTGGAGCCATCCTTCCAGAGCTAAGACAAAAAAAAAATGTGTGAGCTGGAGGCTAAAAAACTGTGAGCTAGCTCACACTAACTCAGCTTAGAGGGAACACTGCGCAGGGAACCCCCCTTCCCAACTGCACCTTTGGTCAAAGCTTTGCTAAGGGGTCATTCTGAACCGCGTGGCTGTAAAAAACAGACGGCTGCATCATATCTGAAATTTATCCCGCAGGGTAGACGAAGACGGCAACCGCTTCCCCGCCCGCCTCTGGCAGGCCCGCTGCGACTACCCCCGATGCATCGACTTGACCTCTTCAGCGGCGGGCCAGGACAGAACCAAAATAAACCATCACGGCAACTCCGTCACTGTCGATTACGTCACCATCGTTTTCTTCCGGAGGCAGTGTAAGGGAGAACCCGGCCGATTTAAGCTGGTACCGGAACCGTACCATGTGAACGTCTCATGCACGTGCGTGGTCAAAGATATGGCCTACTGAGGTTCACGACGCCCAGGGCAGTGGTTAGGACGAACGCCGTCAGGATGGCTTCCCACAGCATTATTCGGGGATGTGTTATGGCCATACCTTGCTTCAGAACTCGGGAAGCTACACGGCAATGTTGGAGGGATGACGCTGGGCTCGGTGGTCCTTAGTAGCAAAACTGTGGAAGAGAGTAGCAGTAGTACTAGAGCGCCTCTGTGCATCGGCAAAGTTTCTTTCCCTCACCACCCAGCTGTGTCTGTCACGCATATCTCTGGGATTAAGAAGAGCCCTCAGGTCGCTTTTAGCCAAGCAAACTGGGAACTCCGGCGTCCCCTTTTTAGCCGAACTGAATCACTGCAACTAAGGTAAAGGCCAGGGGTCTCCAACATGGTGCCCGTGAGCGTCACGGTGCCTCCCGATACCTTTCCTGATGCCCACCAAGTATTTTTAGGAAGTGGGTGGGGCCAGGTAGGGGCTTTTGCCAAGCAACACTTCTGATTGGCCATTGGAAATTTGATTGGCGTTACTTTGGCGGGAGCTGCCACCATCGCACAAGGATTTTTTTGGGGGGATGTGTGACTGAAGGGAAGCCGTTTTAGTGGGTGGCTCCGCCTCCTGCGGCAGCCATTCTGTGGCCGCACCCACATCACTGTGTCACAATTCCCAAAGTGCCCCCAGGCTCAAAAAGGTCGAGGACTCCTAGTATAGGTAACCAAAGTTGCTTTCCAGTTAGCTACCACGGCTTCCCCCAGACGTCCCTGACACCCAGTTGAGAAGGGAGAGCCAGTTTGGTGTAGTGGTTAAGTGCATGGACTCTAATCTGGAAGAACCGGGTTTGATTCCCCACTCCTCCACTTGCAGCTGCTGGTGTGACCTTGGGTCAGTCACAAGCTCTGGCACAGCTGTTCCTGAAAGAGCAGTTTCTGTCAAGAGCTCTCTTAGCCCCACCTACCTCACAGGGTGTCTGTTGTGGGGAGGGGAAGGGAAAGGAGTTTGTAAGCCGCTCTGAGACTCCCTTGGGGAGTGAAGGGTGGGGTATAAATCCAACCTCCTCTTAAATATGGTCAGAAACCTCTTCAGCTGTTACAGAACTACAGTTTCCAGGTCTCCTGGTGTGGGTGTGTGTTTACGTAACGTTAGGACAGCTTAAACCCAGGTAGGCTTGGAGTGTAGACAGACTCTCACAACAAAGATCTATTAACTGAATCGAAGGCTTTACATAGATCAATAAAAGCTAAGTATAGCTTACCACCTAAGTGGCGGGAATACTTCTCCGCTAAAAAGGCTAAGGTAGTACAGAGGTCTAAGATGGAGTGGTTAGCCATGAAACCAATTTGCTCTCTTCCTGGAAGGTTATGATCGACCATTTATTGAGATAATTTTTTGAGAAGATGTTTGGCATAAAAGCTTCCCTAAAATGGAAAGCAAGCTAATAGGTCTATAATTATCTATTGCTATTAGGGTCACCTTTTTTGAAAAAGGGAACTATTATAGAATTCAACCAGGAATCAGGTAGGACACCATACTTGTCGATCGGAGTGAAAAGATGAGCTAAAGAATGCGACTGCCACCCACATGCGCCATTCATGCCATTTGGGGTCCAAGGGGTACTGCGCACCGTTTTCCTAACAGGGCTCCTTCTGCTTTGAAGATACACATGGCAGGAGAAGAGATACCAGAAGGGAAAGTTTCAGATATCATTGCGTCTCCATGCTGCTGTATTCCTGCCTGGCAGGTATCTTGTCCAAGACACAGGAGTCCTGCGAGATTTGTTTTTTTTTAAAAAAAGGGTCAGCCACTCCAATTGAACAGTAACACTGCTGTTGCCACCTTTCCCCCTTAGCTTTGCTCTTGTGCCTTCAGCATACAAAAGGTAGCAGCCGAAACTTTTCAGATCCCTTTAGGGCCAAGCCAGGAAAAACCTTCAAGTGCTTACCTCGGATAGGTCAGGTGGATTTCTGAAAAAGAAAAGGCAAAGGAGTGGGCGGCTGCAGACTTTTCTTCTCCTGCCTCAGTCGCTACAGAAGCGATGCGCGTGAATACTAGTCTGCGGTGGCGTTACCAACCTCCCGGTCGGGCCTGGAGATCTCCCGGAATTACAGCTGATCTCAAGACTGCAGAGATCAGCTGCCCTGCAGGAATTGGGTGCTCGGGAGGGCGGACGCTATGGCCCTATGCCCAGAGGAGGTCCTTCCCATCTACACACACACACACACACACAAACACACCGTCCTCCCTAGACTCCACCCCCCCCCAATCTCCAGGAATTTCCCAGCCCAGGGTTGGCACCCCTAACCAGCGCAAACCACACCCCCTATCTCTTTGTGCCAAGGTCACTTTACCGCGCCCCCGCCGCGGCCGCGCAGTCGTCGGTGTGTTCTCCGCAGTGTCCCGAACTCTGCTTTTCCACGTTCAATAAAAGCCTTTCTTTTCTCGGAAATACAAATAGGCAAAATTCTACAGTTACATGTTTATGAACCTTCCTATTCGTTATGTATTTCAATTTGCGGCTTTACAATTGCTCACTATTCGGAATATGTTTGTACACCTATGTAAGTATGTTGAACAACATAATTATCAAGATTTTGAAAATCAATAAAATGTATTGTATAAAAAAGAAATGCAAATAGGCGTGAGGCGCCTTCCTCTCCGCGCCCCCTGCCGAGCGACCGCGGGAAGCCCTCCCGCCCCCCTGGCCCCGCTCTCGGGCGCCCCCTGCCGCCCGGTTGGGGCGCCGTCCCCGTCCCCTGCCTCCCCCGCCGCCGGGCGTGGTGGGGGAGAATGCGGCCATTCAGTGGGGCCCGGGGGCCGGACAATCGCCAGCTTGTTCTCCGGGGCCGGCCGCTCCTGGCCCCGCCGGACAAGCCCTCCATTGTCGGGATGCGGCAAAGCGGGGGGGG